GCAAAATTCCAATAACAAAGAGAGAACCTTAAAGGCAGCAATGGAAAAACAACAAGTAACATACAAGGAAGCCCCAATAAGACTAGAAGCTGACTTCTCAATGGAAACTCTCAAAGCCAGAAGGGACTGGCAAGAAATATTCCAAGCAATGAAAAACAAAGAGCTACAACTAGGACTACTACAACCAGCAAGTCTCTCAGTTAAAATGGAAGGCAAAATAAGGACATTCTCACACAAAAGAAGCCTCAAAGAATACACCTCCAACAAATTAATACTATAAGACATGTTAATGGACTGTTTTTAAAAAAATAAAAGGAAGAAAAAGAGTGAGAGGAACACATGTATAGAGAAGTAAAATGGCAATGACTAAGTACCTATCAATAATAACCTTAAATGTAAGTGGATTAAATATTACAATCAAAAGACATAAAATAGCTGAAGGGATAAGAAAATATGACCCACACATCTGATACCCACAAGAGACCTATCTAGAAAAAAAAGACCTGCACACACTGAAAGTGAAGGGCTGGAAACAAATATTCCAAACAAATGAACAGGAAAAAGAAAAAGGCAGGGTAGCAATACTGATATCAGACAAAAAAGACTTCAAAAACATGGTCACAAAATCAGACCCAGATGGTGACTTCATAATTCTCAAAAGAAGAATCCGTCAAGAAGACATAAACATTACAAACATATATACACCCAACATAGGAGCACCCAAATACATAAGGAAAAACATAGAGGACATCAAGAAAGATATTGACAGAACCACAATTATACTAGGGGATTTCAACACCCCACTGTCAAAAAATGAACAGATCTTCCAAAAAAATATATCAGCAAAGATATTGTGGCATTGAACAATGCCCAAAATCAAATGAACTAAACTGATATATACATATAGGACCTTGAATCCCAAAGAAGCAAAATACCCATTCTTTTCAAATGCACATGAAATATTTTCAAAGACCATATATTAGGACACAAAGGAGGCCCCAACAAATTCAAGAAAACTGAAATCATATCAAGCATTTTCTCTGAAAACAAGGGCCTGAAACCACAAACCAACCTCAAGAAAAAAACTCAAAAAATCTCAAATTTCTGAAGATTGAATAGCATGTTATTAAAAAATGGATGGGTTAAGAATGAGATAAAGAAAAAATAATAAAGTTTCTAGAAATAAATGACAATGAACTCACAAAAATCCAAACTTATGGGACACAGCAAGGGCAGTCCTGGGAGGGAAGTTCATAGTGACATAGGCCTACCTAAAAAAGATAGAAACATTTCAAACAAACGACCTAACCCTGCACCTACAAGAACTGGAGGAAGAACAACAAAGACAGCCCAGAGCAAGTAAAAGAAAGGAAATAACAAGATCAGAGCAGAATTAAATGACATAGAGACTAAAGGAACAATTCTAAGGATCAATAAATCCAGGAGTTTATTGTTTGAAAAGATAAACAAAATAGACAAGCACTTAAGCAGACTCATCAAAAAAAAAAAAAGAGAGAGAGTGAGAGAGGACACAAATACCCAAATAAACACAATCAGAAATGAAAGAGGAGAGATTACAACTGACACCACAGAAATACAAAGGATTGTAAGAAATTACTATGAAGAATGATATGGAAGAAATTTGAAAACCCAGGTGGAGTGAACAAATTTCTAGAAAAATATAATCTTCCAAAACTGAATGAAGAAGAAGCACAAACCTTGAACAGACCAATAACAGCTGACCAAATCGAAGCAGTAATGAACAAACTGCAAGCACACAAGCTGTGGAACAGGTGGTTTCACAGCAGAATTTTACAAGAAATTCAAGGAAGAGCTAACCTGTATCCTTCACAGACTATTCCAAAAAAATTGAACACAGGGAAGACACTAAACTCTTTTTATGAACCCAGAATCACCCCAATTCCAACACCAGAGGAAGATACAACAAAGAAAGAAAACTACTGGTCAATAATGATGATGAATATAGGCGCTAAAATCCTCAACAAAATATTGGCAAACCACATCCAGCTATACATTAAAAACATCACACACCATGATCAAGTGGGATTCATCCCAGGGATAAAAGGTTGGTACAATATTCACAAATCGGTAAGTGTGATATATTACACACTTATGTATTACAAAGGGAAGGACAAAAATCACATGATCTCATCAATAGATGCACAGGAAGCACTTGATAAGGTATAGCACCCACTGATGATAAAAACACTCAGCAAAGTGGGAATAGAAGGAGCATTCCTCAACATGATAGAGGCCCTATATGAGAAAACTACAGCCAACATCACAAAGGGCTACAAAACTTTGGGAAACAAACTCATTTCCTGCTTGGACTCTTATCATTTAATCGAGAGCATTCTTAGCAAGGCAGGTTTCACAGGATTTTATATATTCTTTCTTAGGCCTGATCACCTGGGGAACCCGCCCTTTCCAGCACAGGGGCGGCACCCACCTCTGTCATTGTTTCAGGCTTAAATCAGGCAGGGGAAGTAAGGCAGCCAAGAGATTAGGAAACTCCTGGAAGACAGAATGAGGACTCAGGCTATGGCAAAGGCAAGGGGTGAGGGTCCATAACTCCCTTTTGCTATAGCACCCCAAGTCCTTCCCTGGGGGCTCCCCGAGATTGTGCCTGTCTTAGATCACCCCTCCCTTGAGGAAACTTACCCATCATTGGCTAACCAATCAAGCACTGGGGGCCAGGCAGGGTGAAGTAAAAGGAGCAGAGGCGGCACTCCTGCCAGGGAGATAAGCTTTGTCTCCATAATGGCCTATGGTCCAAAGGTCCCTCACTCAGTCTTAGCCATGGTGGGGGTGTTACAGCTTCTGAAATCAGGCACCGCAGTTCCCAACATTAGTCATTAATTACAATTGTTACTGGTAATAACATTGGTTCCTGCCAAGGACAATGCATCAACAACCAGGCATCTCATATTCTTGGCTCTACTTGGCTCTCAAGTGTAACATACCCCAATGCGAGCAAATGTCGGAAGCCTTCAGGAGTTTAAGATGGAACTTTATTGGCCAGTTTCAAAGTTTTACCTGCGCAGGGGCGAACTCTCGGGGTGCCTCCAGAGACACAGGTGCCAAAATGGCTGCAAATGAGAGTCGCCCTAATGCTTACAGGCTAGGGTTCTTATAGAAGCAAGCAAGCAAGCAATTTCCAGAAGCAAAAGGTGACAGTTAGCTATTGGCTCAGGGGTTTATGCTAGGGCTCGTGATCTTGCTGATGATTGACTGGCAGGACTCATGAACAGCTTGTGCTTAGGTTTAGCCATTGGCCTAGGGGCTCATGTTAGGGCTAAAAATTTTCCCCCCGGATGTTCCAAGAAGCTATCTGCTTGATCAATGTTCCAAGAAGCTATCTGCTTGACCAATTCTTGTCACTTCATTGTTCTTTTCTTAACTTCTTAACTTCCTGGAACATTTGCCCGGGGGTGGGTGCGGTCCCCCCACCCAAGCTTGAGCAAGCAGCTAAGGTTGAACAAACAACTTAGTTTTCTTAAGACTATTTCCCTTAGCCCCTAACATCAAGCTGCAACTAAGTGGCTTGGCTCTTGACAACCCATAAGGAGGAACGACAAGGCTGACTTTGGTGTATAGAGAGCCATGTATTTCAGCCCCAGAACCACCACCATCCAGCTCTGTCTCCTTGGAAATGAGGTAGAATGGTTTTCTTTCTCCCCTCTAGACATTTTTCCCTTTTTCTATGGGCCTTGCAAAACTGACATTTATGGACTATATTCCCCTCTGCCTTCTAGTTGATTCTGCCTAGGAGAAGGCCTATGTCTAGAGACAACTCCCTATTTTCCTTACTCTAACATACTATCCCCCTTACAACACTTGTGATATCAGATGTTTATGTGTGGGCTCTCTGGTATTGGGAACTGCAGTGCCTGATTTCAGAAGCTGTAACACCCCACCATGGCTAAGACTGAGTGAGGGACCTTTGGACCATAGGCCATTATGGAGACAAAGCTTATCTCCCTGGCAGGAGTGCCGCCTCTGCTCCTTTTACTTCACCCTGCCTGGCCCCCAGTGCTTGATTGGTTAGCCAATGATGGGTAAGTTTCCTCAAGGGAGGGGTGATCTAAGACAGGCACAATCTCAGGGAGCCCCCAGGGAAGGACTTGGGGTGCTATAGCAAAAGGGAGTTATGGACCCTCACCCCTTGCCTTTGCCATAGCCTGAGTCCTCATTCTGTCTTCCAGGAGTTTCCTAATCTCTTGGCTGCCTTACTTCCCCTGCCTGATTTAAGCCTGAAACAATGACAGAGGTGGGTGCCGCCCTGTGCTGGAAAGGGCGGGTTCCCCAGGTGATCAGGCCTAAGAAAGAATATATAAAATCCTGTGAAACCTGCCTTGCTAAGAATGCTCTCGATTAAATGATAAGAGTCCAAGCAGGAAATGAGTTTGTTTCCCAAAGTTTTGTAGCCATTTAGCTAACAGATCCTGACTCAGAATAATCCCTTATAGTTCTTTGTATGCTACTATGGTTTGATCCTTACTGCCTGACAATGATTAATGAGCTTTACCTATATTCCTGTGCAAATTGAAAGCCAATAAAAGCATGTCAAGGGTTGGGGCACTCTCTCCCCTTGAGAGAGTAGTGGTGCCATCCCTTTCCTCCACAGGACTTGGTGATAGTCCATGTGAATGTCTCATCTCATGCATAATGCCATGGACACTGAGGGCCAGTGTCTGCATCAGACAAAGGAGACTGGAGGCTAAAACACTGAGTCTATGTCCCAGGTATTATATTAGAAGCTTTGCCTTTTTCTGTTTATATCCTTTTCAAAAACCATGCAGTGCAGGCATTTTTCATTTTGCCAATGAGAAAGCTGGGGGCCAGAAGGATTAAATAACCTCTATCCACCCAATATTGTAAATAGAGAGCAAAGAGGGACTTTGAAGCCAGAGATGTTGAGCTCTACAACTTGTTCTCTTTCCTTCAAATTCTAGAGAGTAACCCACAGGCACAATGACCTCTAATGGGAGAGCACATAGCTGAGGCCTCTATCCAAACAGTAAGCTCTGAGCTCCAGCCACTTCTAGTTCTTCAGTATTTCTCTCCTGGTCTTGCATGTGTGAAGAAAATCTTCCCTGATGCCCACTGCTCAGAGTGTCTGTGGAAAAGACCACAGAACTGGCTGTGCTATTCTTCTCCTCGTTTAGGGTGTTTCCACCAACACCCATACAAACAAACCAAGAAGAAGTCAACAGCTTGGAAAAGTTGGCATCTCAGTGGCATCTCTATGTGGGGTGCAGCATTTTCACCAATGACAGAAAGACCTTTTATAGCTTCTGGGAATTATGTGAGTTTAACACCTCATGAAGGGTGGTACATTTAGAATAAGGAAGGGAAGATACTGGGTGTGGTTTCTAAAGCTAAATAGAGTTTTGTGACATAGCTATGAAAACAGAGGGGCAATGGAGAATTAATAATGCCAGCTCCCCCTTATCAAGCTCTTGCAATGTGATGAGCACCACACACATGCTAACACACATACACACATATGTATACCTTTCCATCTTTTCAATATGTGCAACAGGGAGGTGTTATCCCAGTTCAATTATCAGAAAGAAGGGTCAAAAAGATTAAGCAGCTTTTGTGAGGCCCCACAAGTAGTATGTGGTAGTGCTCTTAAAGCCAGCCACTTTTGGAGACCCTGCTGAGCATACCTGTAATCATCGTGTGATTCTAAAACCAACATCTCAGTTTCTTTTGGGGAACTTGAACCAGATAGTGAACTCCCTGTGAGTGAAGGCTGAGCCACTGTTTCCTATTTATCCCATAAATGCCCCTTCATCTGGCACAGAACAGAGAAAAGGACACAAGGTTGTAATCAAAAGGTAAAACCTCGAAGAGGTACTGAATTCTGAACCTCAATTTTCTTATACCTAAAATAGAGATAATATCAGCTATATTATAGGGTTGGTGAGTCTTAGAAGTTATATAGAGAGATTTTACATATGAAGAGAGAGAGAAGGGGAAATGACAGCATAGTACCTGATAGAGAGCCTCAGTAAATATATTGACTATCAATATGATAATATTACCTGCTGAACAAATGTATGTGGGAAGAAGACATACTAGTTAGATTTTCTTTGGATCTGGATATAGAAATACACAAGTAAATTTACTATTTTTGATACAGACTCATCAGCAGCCAGAGAAGTGCCCAAACTCACCTTTTAAATTAACATACTTTACTGAATAAGATTTGAAATTATTCAAACCTAAAGGTATTCAGCAGATAATGGTAGGGCTACTGTTCTATAATGCCTATTACTGCCCTTTTCATCCACAGATTCCACTGTCCTTCTGCCAATTTTGTAAACAACTGTGTATTTTCTTCCATACCCTCCATGAGAAATGAAGGCAGGACTCATGACCGAAATAAAAAATCAAGCTTTGCAGCTTGTGCCATGCCTAAAGGAAACACTGGCTAGGGAGAACTTCTGCAGGTAATTAAAACTCAATCTACTATAGACAGTGATGGCTACTCATCATGAAAATGTTACATCTTGTGTTGGGAACTGCTCTGCCTGGTTTCAGGAATTGTAACCATCTAAGGCTGAGTGAGCGACCTCTGGAATGTGAGCCACTTAAGAGACAAAGCTTGTCTCTGGCAGCAGGCACTGCTTCTGCTTCATCCCCCTGCCCCCAAAGCATGGTCAGTAGTCAGAGACAGATACGACCCCTCAGAGAAGAGGAAACTTAAGCCAGACACGATCACTTGGGAGGCCATCATGGAAGGATTCAGAGGGCTGCAACAAAGAGGGAGTGATGAACCCTCACCCCATGGCTATTCTGACATAGCCCGAGTCCCCAGGTCCTCTGGGAGAAGCACTTCCTGGTTCTAATCCACTTAAGCCTAAAAACCTATGACAGGAAAGACAGTGCAGCCTTTTGCCAGCTAAAGTGTGGTCTGGGTAATCTGGCAAGAGAAAGAATTCCTAACGATCCTGTGAAACCTGCTTTGCTAAGAATACTTTTAGTTAAACATTTTTTATTTTCCCAGTTTTATAGCCTTTTAGTTGATAGACCCTGATTTAGAGGAAGCCCTAATAGTTCTTTGTATACTATCTACTGTTTACTGCCTAACAAGGACTAATAAATTGTACTTGAATTCCTGCACACACAAACACACACACACAAAAACAATAAAAACCTGTCTAGGCAACATTACACGGTGCTCTTCATAGAGAGTGTCCTGCCCCTATTCTCCACCGGACTCAGTAGTCCGTGTGAATTTGTCTTGATCATTCATAACTCTGCGGGCACTGCTGGTCAGGGCTCACGTCAATCTTGTCCCTGAGTTCCAGTCTAGAATGCCTGCCCCAGCAGTAACCTAACCAGGTAGAAATTGTGGAGGTCCAGCCTCTGCCTACGATGACCCAGTCAGCATCACCATGGAAAAATCTTTCTCCAGCAGTGATAGAAGCTGCATAAAAACATCAGTTGTGATGAGGCAACTCGACCAACCAGTGACTGGGGACCCACAGTGAAAGGACATTTAATCCACATGCATTGTAAAAAACTCATTGTCAAATTGTAATATGACTGTGGTTTGGATCTTGGGGCTGAAACACACGTATCTCCATACACCAGAGTCAGCCTTGTCTTTTTCCTCCTTATAGGTTGTCAACAGCCAAGTCACTTAGTTACAGCTTGAGGACCAACTAGAGGCCAAGAGTAAGAGATGCTTGTCATCTATGCGTTGACACCCTCTACTAAAGCAGTCCATCCTTGAACAATACTGTTAAGCCCAACTCACCTGCATCATATTTCTTGACCAAAAAATGTGTGTGTGGGGTATTAGTCCTTTTAGTCCTACCCCTGTGTAAAGTACAGAGGGAAAAGCTAAAACATTATGACAATGTTGGCAAACCCAACAGACACAGTGAGACAGTGAGCTGGGGCTGCTGTTGTGGAAGTGCTGGCGCAGGCACCTCAGTCAGCTCCCCTGGTGGGATGAAAGGCACATGGCTGAAGTTCCAGCTTTGACACCTCCCATCCTCCATGGATCTGGACCATAGGTACCTGCAAGATCTGGTAAAGCCATCTGGTGATGGTGTGTTCATGTAAAAGAGTGAGAGTGTGTGTGGTTTTCAAAGGGTGAAGCAAATAGGGTGACTACATTAAAGAACTAGGAAATACTGGCTGGTGCAATGTGAATTTTTTCTGATCATAAAGGGAAATTGTATAATGACCCTGGACTTTGAAGAAGAAGTCCATGAGACTGAATTTGCAGGCAGCCTGCTCTTAAATTCTAGGGTCATGCAACCAAAAAGCAGCAGTGGTCCCAGGTAAATGGAAGAAAAGAGGATTTTAACCTTTCCTTATTACCTCCACCACTCCCCAAATCTGCCCAAATAAACATATAAACATTATTGTTTGATATGGCAATTGCTACTCTTTCTCTCATGTGTATCTAAGGATGGATAAAGGTATCTTTTTAAAATTTTCACCAAATCTGTTGATCTCTAACATGTCAAGTCTTAAACAAGTAAGATAACATGCTTGCTATGCAAATTCAGCTTTAAGAACAGTTCACAGTCTTCCTCTCACCTGACTGCCACAACTAAGCTCCAACTACATAGAATCCTGAAGCAGCCACTTTCTTTTTTTTCTTTTTTCTTTTTGCCTTTAAACAAATTTATTGATGTTTGAATACAGTTCTTCATTTTCCCATCACCACTTTCTGCCACTCTATCCACCCCCACCTTCCACCCTCAGTCATACCCCTCTTTGGCCATGTCCATGAGTCCTTTAGACATGTTTGTTTATGACCCTTTTCCTTCCCATATTATTTCCCTCTCCCTTCCCTTCTGGTTACTGTCAGTTTGTTGTTAATTTCAATGTATCTGGTTATATTTTGCTTGCTTGTTTGTTTTGTTAATTAGGTTCCACTTATAGGCGAGATCATATGGTATTTATCTTTCACTGCGTGGCAGCTTACTTCACTTAGCATAATCCTCTCACGCTCCATCCATGTTGTCACAAAGGGCAGGAGCTCCTTCTTTCTTTCTGCTATGTAGTATGCCATTGTGTAAATATACCACAGGTTTTTGAACCACTCATTTACTGATGGGCACCTAGACTGTCTCTAGCACTGGCTATTGTAAATTGTGATGCTAATGAACATTGAGGTGCATAGGTTCTTTTGAATTAGTGTTTCAGGATTCTTAGGGTGTACACCCAGCCATGGAAGTGTTGGTTCAAAATACAATTTCATTTTTTAGTTTCTTGAGAAAATTCCATACTGTTTTACACAGAAGATGAAACAGTTTGCATTCCAACCAAAAGTGCACTTGGGTTCCCTTTTCTCCCCAACTCCACCAGTGCTTATTGTTTGTTGATTTGTTCATGATGGCCACTCTGGCTGCTGTAAAGTGATATCTCATTGTGGTTTCAATTTGCATCTCTTTGATGGCTAATGATGCTGAACATCCTTTGTCTCTGGGGACTCTGTATGTCCTCCTTGGAGAAGTGTCTGTTCACGTCTTTTGCCCATTTTTTAATTGTGTTAATTGTGTTCCTGGAGTGGAGTTTTGTGAGTTTTTATATATTTTGGATATCAAACCCTTGTCCAAGATATTATTGGCAAATATATTTGCTCATAGAGTTGGTTCCCTTTTCATTTTGCTAATGTTTTCTTTTGCCATGCATAAACTCTTCATTTTGGTGAAGTCCCATTTGTTTATTCCTTCCTTTATGTCCCTTGCTCTAGGGAACATATCATTGAAAATATTGCTGCAGAGAATATCTGAGATTTTCCTGCCTAACTTCTCCTCTAGGACTCTTATGGTTTCAAACTTATATTTAAGTCTTTTAGCCATGTTGAGTTTATTTTTGTGCATGGAGTACATTAGTGGCTAAGTTTCTTTTTTTTTTTCTCATGTAGCTGTCCATATTTTCCAACACCATTTGTTGAAGAGGCTATTTTTACTCCATTTTATGTTTCTGCACACTTTGTCAAATATTAATTGACCATAGAAACTTGGATTTATTTCTGGGCTCTCTATTCTGTTCCATTGGTCTATGTATCTGTTCTGATGCCAGCATCAGACTGTTCTGATTACTGTGGACTTGAAATATACTTTGATGTCAGGTATGGTAATCCCACTTACTCTGTTCTTCTTTCTCAAAATTGCTGCAGCTATTCAGAATCATTTGTGGTTCCATATAAATTTTTGAAATGTTTGTTTAATGCCTT